GAATCAAGATTCAAATTAAATTACATGGACCTCTGATTAAACTCATGGTACACTTTACGCCGAAGTTATAACATCGATGTTATGAAACTGGCCAATCATATCTCTACAGCACAAAGTTACACAAAAGTTGCAGCATATTGCAGAGATTTTGCAGCGATATTGTTGCAAATTCTGTGCTCTATGGGTAGCTATTTCTCTGAAGAATAGAATAACTGTGATTGGCCAGTTTTATAACATCGATGTTATAACTTCGGCGTAAAGCGTGCCGTGTAACAGAGATCATTGATAGAAATACGCATCAGAAAATAAACAAAAAGTAAATTAAACCGAGATCAAAGTTAATCTACATTAATAGAAATGGAATTTAACATTGATTTACGTGCGCGCGACGGATAGAAAGTTTCCAATTTTACTCCGAATACATGAAATATGATAATGAATTTTCCTACATGGAGAGAATTTTTTCTTAGAGTTTACCCTGAAAATATGATAGTCGTGGAACAACATTGTACTTCGAAGAATTTTAATGTAAATCTCTTTCATTCGTTAATAAAACTACAATAAAGTATAAAATAAGTTTGATTAATTTTACTGAAGTGCATGGTAAGAATCTTTAAAATATTGTATTGTGTGTACCACAACTACCACAATATTTTCAGGGTAAATTTTAAAAGAAAATTCTCTCCGTGTACGCGCTGAAATCCTTCAACAATCATAGGCTACGTTTCCACCGTGCACTTAGTCCGCGACCTATACGATAGGTGTCACTGGCTACGTTTACACCGTGCATTTAGGCCGCGGCCTATACAATAGATGTCCTTGTTTATCCTGTATATTAAACAAAGACACCTATTGTATAGGTCGCGGACTAAGCGCACGGTGTAAACGTAGCCTTTGTTTAATATACAGGATAAACAAAGACACCTATTGTATAGGCCGCGGCCTAAATGCACGGTGTAAACGTAGCCAATGGGAATGCTTTCCAAAATTGTGCGATAATGATGTGCGTGCACGTGTGTTTCGCGTGTGCGTGCCCGCGTATTATGAAGATCTAAATACAACGGTGGAATGCAGCGGAACGCGTTCCGGCTATTTTTAGCCGGGCCGATTCGAAAATACACCCACTGCGGATTAAATATAGCCGGGAATATGCATGCGTGTCCGCGGAATGCACGCGACGGCACGCGAGCGATCTCGAGTGACGCGCGGAATGATATGCAAATTCGCGCCTTGTCCTCAGACTTGCTCGTCTGAATAATATGTACTTAAGAATAATAAATTTGAATAATAAGTACTCGAGACAATCTCGAATATAAGAATCGACTACTGAATACCGGCCTTCAGTCGATTCTTATATTTGAGTTTGTCTTAAGTACAGTTTTAAGATGTCGTAAGCCAATCAGAGGGTTGTATTCACATCTTAAGACGTTATTTAAGACGATCTTAAAATAAAATTGAATTATGAATACTACCCTGAGACACGAATGGCGAACACCGAATCGGTGTCAGAGGAGGGTAGAACATAAAAGTCTGTACACGAAAAGGATGATTTTTGTGGAACTATCAAGTTTAACTAGAAGATACAGATGTGGAAATAATTTTGTTAGATTATCAAAATAATTATATAGAAATCTCAAGCATGCTGAATAAGGGAAAAAGTTTTAACATTCTGTATAACAACCAGTTTGAGCGTTCTACATAATTATTTTGATGGTTTAACAAAATTATTTTCAGACCTGTATCTATAACAAGCTAAATTTTTAGATACAATAAAATCGTCCTTTCTGTGTATTGCGATATAAAACCGTAGATGTTTCCTCAAAGAAAATGCCAAGACAGTCTATTATTTACCGCAACTTTTCGTAATTACATCAACGAAAAACTAAAATTTTTTAATAATTAATACTTAACAATAAATTATTCTTTCCCAAATTATACTTATCAAAATAATTGTATATTTAGGCACAACGTAAAATATGTCATGTTAGAAAAAAAAATTAAAAGAAATTGTAATACACTTTTTTAGAAAAATGTATATCTTTTTATTGTGAATTACGCTTCTACGCATTTTTATGGAAATGGAGAGGGGGAGGGGTTGGAGTGAATGAATATAAAATTAAGACTAAATAATGAGACCCCTCGTGGCCCTCGTTACGCTGGCACGTGTGCTAAAAACGAAGAAGGTCACGGTACTACACGCGAGGGGGGAACGAAAACAAGCCGGGGTACGAAGTGACGTTTCGTCGAGCAAATACGCCGCATGATCGCCTGTAATTTCGTTCAATCTTGCGAAATTGCGCGATTTCACCGCGGGACAATTATTCAATCGAGATTTTGATCGCGTCTTATTTTACTCAATCTCATAGGGTCGCAGACGAGGCCGATTATGACGTAATAAAAATCCCGTGCGATTTACCGTTGCTGGAAGAAACTGCGCGTATTCGCGAATATTCGCAAAAACGATCACGTTTTTCTATTTCCCAATTTTTTTTCTTAATCCTTTGTAACGCCACGTAACGTGGAAATTATATATTTATATATACCTAAAATTTACATTTTTTTAAGTGTTCATGAAAAACAATTTTAAAACTGTTGTAAGATGTTTTGATACAATTGGTTTACACATTTGGATCCAATGAGGAATTAAGAGCAAAAATCAATCATACAGAATCTTATAAGAGTGTCAAAGTGTAGAAAACTATTTAATTTTTCTATTGAACGCAGCCAATGTTTCTTATTTATTGGTGGTATAACAAACAGAAAAATCCGGTTATGAAGAATTAAAAAACATTTTTAATCAAGTAGGAAATATAAACAAGCTTTTTTTTTATTTTATCTACCAGTTTTAAACCAGTTTTTTAATATTTTAAATATGTATATACTTAGCACTTTATATTTTTAACATTGAGAATGATCCGAACGGGCTCGAAATGCCGTTTGTGTATTATTGTTTTATTTCTTAATTATATCTTCAATTTAAATATTGTTTTCTTATGGTTCGTAGCCCTTCTCAACACTTTTATTATTAATTTATATTAATTGAACCATATTATACGATGTATTATAAACAAGCTTGTTGCATGAAGTCATAACGATAATACGATCGAGCGAAGCTCGACCAGTAGTGATGATTCGAATTCCGCGGCTGTAATCATTTCTGCAATCCGAGAGGCGCCGCACCCGCCGTTGACGATCGCCGTTGTTGTCAGCCGGTTTGCCTCTGTAAATTATCATCCCAGCAATTTCGCTCCCAACGAAAACAAGCTGAGTAGCTCTCAGTCGAGGAGGACGCATCGTGACGAGACAATAAAAAGACAACGACAATGCGCCGTTCGTATCCCGCAAGATTAAAACCTAATCTACAATGTTCCTTGCTTTCTTATTACTTTTTACCACTTTTTACCCCTGCCTTTTTGCCTTTTATCCTGTTTCTTCGTTTTCTGTTGCCCCAAGATAAAAGTTGACGACTTTTGGAAGAGACGCAAATACGTAACAATATTCAATTCAATTCAATTCAATTCTTTATTGCAATGCATGCATACACATATACAAAGCAAATGGCATGGCATCAGCAAGGCTGCTGTTACAAGCCAGGCAACAGCTAGATTACAATATGATACATGATTGTTGAAATAAAACGGTCGCGAAGAGGGGAAAAAGGCAAGACATAAAAGGTATTAAGCCTATTCCTTTTGCCTGAACTTTTGCACCAGTTCATTTTTCTTCCTCTTCTTTCTTCCTGGAGAGAAAAGGAAGAAAGATAAACTGGTGCAAAAGTTCAGCCAAAAAGAACAGCCCTATTATTCCGAATTCGGTTAAACGCACTAGATACGCACATGGAAAAAAACACAGCTGAAAACTTCACTGATTCAGCAAATCTGCAGTCGTAATATACAATCAATTTTCTATGTTAAAATAACAAAGTTGACAGTTGAATAACATTAGAGATTTGTTAAACCATCAAATTTTCTTAATTACAGATATTGAATTCGCGCAGTAAGTTATAGGTTTGCTGTACCATTCAATTAATTTTTTTTCCGTGATACTTAATATTAAAGTCATTGTACACAGATTGACATAGAAATGTGTTTTAATATAAATATAGAAACAGATTTAAACCGTCAAATCTTCTCAACACACACTTTACCGTACTATTAGATAAAATATGTATAAGAAACAGAATGTAAAGAGCACATTGTAGATTAAACTTACAATTAAATCTCGCGAGAGTATAATTGTTGAGTTTCTCCTTTTAGGAGATTCTTTTCATTCGTCAAGGAGAGGGATTGGCTGGGTTTATGGTAGCCAATAATTCGAGTCACAATGTCACTTGAGTATCATTTTATTCCTTGTTTTTTTTTATTTTCGCTATAAATAAGTTCGGTGAGATGTGTCGGTGTTTATATATATACACGCATAGCTGGGCAACACCCGCCTAATTCTACGTTTACAATTATAGCAATAATTTAACGGCGCTACCGTATATTCTAACAGTGTACTAATTAGATATACTTCATTAATCATGTATGTTATTAATTCTATACGATACTACGCGCACTTGGGAATGTTCTTATGTACAAAAGTAGCTGCGAATGGCTGTCGATTACTCATTACAGGATCATCACGAACCTCCGGGTGTGATGACAGCGTCAAGAGAATTCTCCATTAATTCATTAAAAGCCGTAATTATATATAAGACTTGAGTTAGTAAAAAAGTTAATAAAAAAGATTGGAGCATGTATTATAAAAATGTTCGGAATGAATTCCGATCTAAATTATTTTGTTTTCCTAGAAAAACATAATATAAATCTACTCATTAAATTTTTTGTAGTGGAATCTCACTTTAAAGATGAAAAATTCTGCCACTCTTTTTCAAGAATGGTAAAATTTTCAATTTTTAAGAGTGAGATTTTATTCTTTAGAATGAGATTCCACTTCAAAGAATTTATAGAGTAGGAAATAATTGAACAATTTCGATTGGAATCCATTCCAATTCCACAAATAATAGTCATAAATAAATGCTCAAGCCGTTGTTGTACTGAACACGTTAACGATGAAACAGTCAAATAGGAGAATCAAACGCCATCGATCAATAGCCTGGCTATTTACAAAAAAGAACGAATTATTTTGTAATTCTTATTTAGCTGCAAGAAAAAATGAGACAACGATCAACTTGTTTATTCTATGCCAATTATGAAAACATCATCGCAAAATTTAATCTCCATCTTGCGTATTACAATACGAATCTCCATTTAAATAATTTAGCGATACTTTTCTTTAGTGTAACAGAAAAGAATTAATTGATCACGAATCAGATCTAAAAGTCTAGACCTATACTTTCTCTATTTACCTCTCTATATATTTCTTCCTTCCTTTATATATCACTGTTTTCTTCACTCAGCATTTATCTTAATCATGGCCGACACCTCGGAAACGATCAGGTTTTCCTCCCTCTTTTTCCCCTCTTAACGACATCCGCAATGGTCTGCGATCATGTCCTCGTACATCTTGAGCACAACGTTCTCGTTGTCGTCGTAGAAGAGAATGCTGGTGCTGAGCAGCTTGGTTGGCACGCAGCACGGTCTTTCGACGCCCTTGGCCATCTTGTGTACGATCGCCTGTATCGTCGCATGGTTCGTCGGCCGCTGGTTTTGGCTGAGGGGCGGCTCACACACGCCCTTGCATTGGTACGCGGAATAGCCAGCCGGTGCGATTATCGAGGATGACAACCCAATGTCGTGGAAGTCCACGTAGAGCTCATGCCTCGTGCACTCGGTTGCGTTCCCCGACTGTTCCGGTGCCAACAAGCTCTGGCTACTTGCCGATCGCGCCGGTCGACGACGTCGTCCTGTGACCGTCGTCGTCGACCTGTTCCTCACCACCTGTCCCAGCCTCTCGCGAAACATCGCTCTCTCGTAGATGTCCATCGACGTGAGAATTCGTGTGATCCGCGAGCAATTTCTCGATACGATACCACAGGAAGTGTGTTTCCGAGAGGACATCGCGTCGCGACGACGGCGCCTCGTCGCTTCTAGAAAATTGCCATAACGAGAAGCTTCACCCTGATCCTTCTTTTCCTCCTCCTCCTCTTCCTCTTTACGTCTTTTCTTTTGCCGCTGGAAAAATTCCGGCTCCCGTCTGTTTACCAATAGAACCTCCTCGGGCTGACCGTCGTCTTCCTGTTGCCTCTTGTGCCTCCTGTTGTGTTCCGCGCCATCATAGTCGTTCTCCAGGTCGATCTTCTCGTTCTCCGCATCCTCGTACACTGGACCTTTTTCATGGTTCTCCTCGTTGTCGTTTTGTTTTCCGTATGCATAATATCGCGGCGCGGTTACCGATTTTTCATTGAACCGATCGCTACTGTCATCATCGAAGAGCACTAATATCGGCTGCTTACTATGGTGATAATCGTTTCGGCGGGAAAACTCCACCGATACCTCGTCCTGGAATAGATTCTGAGTTGTCACCAAGAGGCCCAGATTCGGTTCACCGCTTATCCAGTCGAGAACGGCTTGCTTCACATTGAATATCTGTACAAACATTATTGTTGAAATATCCAATCCAATGCGATATGTTAAACATATTTAGGTAAATAAAAATATTAAATATTATATTATATTAAATATTATTATATTAAAATTAAACCTCCTAAACCTGTTTTGATACTTAAATAATCAAATAGGACCTTTTTTAATATTACTTAATCTATAGCTTCTATTTAGAAAACTTCTTTTCCTAAAAATACTTAAAAATAGAAAATTTTCCGATAACTGCCATTTACAGACTCAACGTAGGAGTTCAATTCATTAGATTAAAACCTATTATAAATCTTTAGAGTCTACATACGTCCTAAAACTAATTAAGGTTCAAAGTAGAAGCAAAATTTCGACTCGGCAGTTGACGTTATTTTTTTGTAACGAGAATTACTGAAATTGTCAAATTTTATTGAATGAAAATGTTAAATTGCCTTCTTGATTTTTAATCCTTCAAGATATGATTAATAATAATTTGATATTATTTGAAATTATCGCGGTAAACTGTTAATTCAAAAACTTTTAAAAATGTTTAATGTTTAATATTTGGTAAAAAATTATTATTGATATCGATGAAATTATCATTGCAGAAGGAAATAAATGTCAATGTTAAATCATTATAATGCTCTCACCTGCCAACCGGAAGCGTGCGCACCGACGTAACGAACATTCAATAATCTGTGAAAATCTGGCACATCAAGACTGCGATCGTCCAGGACTTGATACACTCTTATCTACAAAGTTTATATTAAAGAGATATGATGGAAATTTCAAAATAATAAAAAATTTATTTCAATAAGAAGTAATATTTCTTAATTTTTAAGTATATTTCTTAAATTAGTTGTCGAACAAATAAACAAAATATTTATTTTTTCTAAATATTTGTAACTAATGGGTGAATCGCAATAAAACTTTGCATAAAAAGTACTTATATAAAAACATTTAGATTTTGTTATTATTTTTTAAATTTTAGTTTATAATAATAAAAATAGTAACAAATAAAATTAATAAATTATAAAAATGTGTTGTTTAATAAAAACAAAATATTATAAGCACAACTTTTGTATGTATATGCTTTGTTTAAAGTATAAATATTATTATATGTGCTATTTATGTCTATCGCAGCTTAACACATCAAGTTCACACGCTTGATTCGCATGCATGTAAAGATTGACACGCTGATCGGCGACACTGACCGTGCCAGGCACTTACAAGATAATAAGGCGACGCAGGCGTTAGCGGATGTACGTTTCTCGGCGGTATTTTTTTTCGATAGAGATGAAGCTCAGCCTCCAGCACCGATTCGTTCATCTCCAGTCCCGAGACATTAAAGAAATAGAAGTTCGACGAGGAAACGTCTACGTGCCAAAAAAAAGTTTAGATCGCGACTCTCGCTCGACAGCGAATTGCATGATTTCCGCGAGTGTTTGATGATATAATATATGTACTGAAAGAATTACCTCTTTCAACGAAGCTGCGCACGATTCTGGCGTTGTACGGATTCCGGCCTCGCGTAACTCCGCTGGGATCGACGATAGTGTTGTAGAGTTCCATCATGAATTGCGGCGGTACCTTGCGATAGGCTAGATTCTCGTTCTGACTCCGAATACCGAGGATCTGCAATGCATTCATCATTTTATCGTTAGTGCGAAGCTTAAAGAGATTTCATTGTCTGAAGACGACAAATCGTCAATTCTAGTCGGATCGTTGCTCGATTCTCGCATTTATCATAACTCTCTAAATTCTTTGGAGTGGAATCTCACTCTAAAAAGCGAAAATTAGGCCAGTCTTGCAAAAGACTCAATTTTCAGTCTTTTATGGCCAATTTCTTCATCTCTACACAACTTTGTTCATGAGATATCTTATGGATAAGTTGTCGGCAACTTAGATTTCGGCAATTTAGAAATGAAAAAATTGGCCATAAGAATGAGACCTTCAGAGTGACAATTTACTCTACAAATTTTAGAAAGTATCTCTGATAAATGTCACGATTATCGCGACATTTACCAGAGATACTAAAATTTGTACGTTTATCGCGACGAGGATTGTCATTATCACCTCACCTCTTGTATTTTCTGCAAAGCCTCCTCTCGTTGGGGTGCGAAGTCATTCTCGTTTGCTGGTTGAACGAAGGGCCACAATTCTTTGAGTTCTTGCTCAAGACCATCCCTGTCTTCGGTCTGAAGGTCCAACTTCGGGTACGCGTTAATATCGCACAGAAACGTCAATGAGAGTAGCAACATTAAAAAGCAGCACGGTGCGTTTCTCGTCATCACCGTCATGGATCCACGTACGTTGTAATAAGAAAGAAGAGAGGTTCACCCGCGATTCTACCGAGTTCTGTTTTCTCGATCGCGTGTCGATCCACTTTCAATCCCGAGAAATCGCACGCGAAAATCGGTCGGCACCGTCAACGTCTACATCAGCTTATTTTTTCATCGCGTTCAAGAAGGATATAACTCGAAGGAGTTTTTTCTCTTAAGACAAATAAAAAAAAAGATAGAGAAGTATTCTCCACGAAGGAGATTTTGCCAAGCCGAACGGGATGCTAAGTGGCATATGGGATGTCTTGGCCGCGAGGAGTCACCTTTATGCTACTCCGAGAGTTGCCTCCCCCGCAACTCGTTTGCCCCCCGCGGCATTGGCTCTCTTCTCGCTTCTCCCTCGGTGTCGTTGTCATCGTTATCGTTAAACGGGGATCCCCTCGATTCGAATTTCGCGCATTACCAATGTTTACCTTCGTCAATATTCTTTGGTCTTTTAACCCACTGGCGGATTTGCTTGTAAATAAATCGAATTTGTTTGCTACGTAAATTGTATTAAAAAATGTTCCACTGGAGAAAATTGAATATTATTATTTTAGATAGGAAAAGATCCTTCTAAACCTGCATTTTTTGAAAACTGTGTCAAAAAGTTTACAATTTAATAGTGAAAGATATTCCCATTAAGAAATTTATGCGGAATTTCAATTTTGATAGAATACATTTTTTATATTTTTAAATTTATAATATCAAAACTAATTTGTGTTATTTTAATCATTTCTATGAGTCGCCACTGTCCAATATGTCGTTAACTAAAACAATCGAATTAAACAATTTTATTCGAGAAAATGTATTAAATTTCATTTAAATTTAGTTTATTTACTACTTATATACACACAAATATTACGTTATTATGGACGTTTACTTTGGAATCAACTACAGAGATGGATTGATTTACATTTTGATACTGAAAAAAAATTTATTAAATCTTAACACATATTTCTTTAAATAGTATTAAATAAACGTAAACTTCAGTAAATAAATATTTACTTAGAAATAATAAAACAAATATTTATTAAAATTTAGTATTTTTTTCGAGCATGGAAATTATAAAAATAACAAAATGTTATTTCATTCAAGGAATTGGATCATCATTGCTCCTTTAATACCTAATAGTGTAGGAAAAGAAGTATTTATAATTCCTCTGATTTGCAAGGGAACGATTTACAAAGACTTTTTACGATGATCGATTAATTGGTCAAAATCGATGAAAGAAGCGAGACTTTAAAAAGGCCGAGAGATACAAGGTCGCGCTCCAACGATGACACCGCGTGGCTATTAAAAACAGCAAGCGCTTCCTAAATTCCGCGGATTCGTAAGTGCCGAGTTATGTGATTTGTCACGCGGCGATATTTAGGCGGATTTGACGTCGACGATTTATTTATCCTTCTTTAACGAGAGACTCGCGAGGGCCGATTATTTATTTCGATAAATTTTTCTTGTCCGTCAACTTTATTTTCGTACGATTTTTATTTTTCTAATTCGAAGCTTTGTCTGATTGCGAAGCATTGTCGGCCAATAATCGCGTTATGCAAAACCTCGCTTATCGATAAACGTCCGCCCACGTGGCGGGCCGACGTCGTCGCACGCCCAAATCGCAAAACACGTAGCGAAATATTTGTCAATTTTTGGACGCGATAGAGCTATACTTATATACCGAGGAATCTCTAATTTTAGCGCGTGATTGGCTCTATTGTAGTAAACAACTTTTCGTGGGTGTGTCTTACTAAAATTGGGATAATCAGGCAGGTAAGGGAGGTCAATTTGCCGCTTTAATGCAGACGTAAGAAAGTGCACAAAGAATCGAAAAATATCCTCGTTGAAACTTGTTTTCCTTCATAAAAGCTTCATTACCACAATAAATATGAATAGATTAGCAATAGGATGTACAGACGGGAAGAAAGATATTTGTCTTATTCGTAAAAACATCGTTGATTTATTCAGCCACGTGGATTTGTAGGTACATAATGCACCTAGGAACATGAATGTATGTGCAAAATTTGTTTAACAAGCTGTCTTTCTCTCTCTCTCTCTCTCTCTCTCACTCTCTCTCGCTATCTGTATTGCTTTCTTTTGCTTTTTTCTCGTCTTCGATTCGATTCAAACTATTCACGACGGAATAATATTTTCAGTCTAGACGCAGGCACACTGAGTAATTTGAATTATTTCTCTCTTCGCTCCTCGTCGGGTTCTAGAAGTTCCAAATATGATAAAATTAATAAATATTAATATTTGAACGGAAATTTAATTTTTTTCTTTAGATGTATTCTCTAAATTGCGTGGAGTGAAATCTTACTTCAAAAAAGTTAAAATACTGCCACTATATTGAAGAGGAATGAAAAAATTGTACTCTTGAATAAGATTTTTGCTCTTTTTTTTGGAGCTTGCAAATGAAAGAAATCTCACTCCTTTTTTGGAGTAAATCTCACTCTAAAAGTGTGAAATCTCACTCCAAAAAAAGGGTGAAAATCTGCCACTTTTATTCAAGAGTGCAAATTTTTCACTCTTTTTCAGTAGTGGCATTATTTTAACTTTTTTGAAGTGAGAGATGATAATAGTTGGGACTTTTAAATTGAAATAATCGTGGAATAATAATTCTACCTGTACTCGTGCACTTTAAATCTGGCCGGTGTGCAAGTGTGCTGCTTTGAATACAGACCGGCTAGACATCTAGACGGCTCTTTTTTATCCCGTAGAAGACACGTCTCCGTCTCATTTCCCGGACACGTTCCGACGCATTGACCGACGTTTATTTGCTGTCAAACATTAAAAGGGATGAGAGAATGTGCTTAAAAAAATTCGATCAAAGCCGCAAAATAATATATACACTACCGACATAAAATCCTTATTCTCTTTAACGATTAGTAATCGAACATATATTTCATACTCGGATTACAGGCCTCACGTCGGTCGTGTTTGTGCCCTCTTTGATCGTCACCTCGCTGTAATCCAGCACAGTTTCCATGTGGTCCATTCGGTAACAATGACCGGCGCAACCGCATTTCTCGACTACTTGATAAATCTCGTCACCTTGAAAATGACACAATTTTCAATGCAAATATATTTATAAATGACTCTAACTTTTAGGCCTCCATTCTATAACTTTTAACGACAGTCTCGATATCGTTATTTTATTACCTTCGTTATAACGGAAAGTTAGTTATATCGTCGTTAGTTATATTGTCGTTAGCGTGATATTTTTCATGTATAATATAAAACCTGCGCAATGACAATATAACGACATTGACACTGTCATTAAAAGTTACAAAATAGAGATCTTAATCCCATGTTTATTTTATGTACGTACCATTTGGCCCTTTGGCGCTGATTGTGTTATTCCGGACCGGCTTGCAACCCAGATCTTGAAAGGCACGTAAGTAAAACGTTAATTTTAATTTTTAGATCTCACAAAAATTATGGATATAAAAGTGAATAAGATAGATAAAGAGGAAATCGTAGAAAATATTGGAGAATCAGAATATTTTTGAAATAACTATCGCACGCAAAGATAATCGCGGCTGGACCATCGGTCACCTTTAGTCACGGCTCGAAAAGTTCTTACGAAGTTGATACCTTTGGCGCAATGACCGATGCAAACCCCGATGTCCACGACTGCTTGGTACGGCGTACCGGAATGTACATAATGGATGTAGGATTCTCGTCTGCAGGACGTTTCTGGCGAGCAATCGCAGGCATCTATAGCCTCGATTATGCGAACACCCTGCAACGTAGACACTCGCTCTAGCTTGGCGACTCTCGCGCGACAATGGAAATCCGATGAACATTTCTGAAAGACAAGTAGAAATATTCGTGAACAATTATAAAAAAAGAGAAAACATTCTGTTCTAAAACATTGTAACATATATTGTAATAAAACTGGCGCGTAGAGTAATCCTTGAATTCATAATTTTCTTCGATGATGAATTTCGATCATGTTTAATTGAATGTTGTTGAAAGACTTTTTTAAGATTTCTCAAAAAATTGCCGAAAAAAGGAAAAGGTTTGAATATCGCAGAATAAAAAAAGTAAAGATCTCTTACACATCCAGGAGTTAACATACGCTGCTAATAGTTCGCTAACTAATCAACATGCTTCATCGTTTTAACTGTTAGCATAAAAAAAGAAAAATGGCTGTCGGCTGTTTTACAATGGCTGCAGTAAAGATACGCTCGCGTCATTCGCTTATCGAGGATCATATTAAAGTCGTTTCAATAAATCTTTCCCCCTCGGCGACCGTCGTCATCCATCCAGCGAGATCCAGCGAACGCATAATTCCGGGATTTAGTGGCTGGACATTCCGGCGCCGCCGAGAGGATCGGTGACCGCGGGCGCCGATCCGACCTTCGAAGGACGCAAAACATATCGCCTTGATCGTCTTGCGTTTCGCGTTCAACGCCTCCATCTCGTCCAACAGCCCCCTTTCCCCCGGTATTCCATCGGGTCCAGCCTCAACGAACCATCGTATAGCACGGCTGCTGTAAAAGACCGTATTCGCGCCATCGACCGATCAGGTTGCGTCACGTAACGAAAATAGCCCTCCTTCGACCGGAAAGATCCGGAATATCATCCAGGAAGATATGAGCGTCGAAAAGGACGAGCGTTTGCAAGGAATCTATCCTACGTAAGATAGGATCCCTTTACCCTTGATGATGGATTAAAATAAATTTTGACAACGAAGTCAAACGAAATTATTCGTAATCGTCAGACAGGACTATTTTAACTTTACCACTTGTGATTGAACACGTAAATAGTGAACCAATGATGCCAGACGGCAAACATTAACAGCATGCTAATAGCAGGTGAAAAGGATTTGCTGGCAATACATATTAAAGGCCGTTTACACCAACGTAAAGTATGTTATATCTTCCACATGATCGAAGCGAGGAAAGAGCCTCGTATACACGGTGACTTACCTGTACCGCTGGTCGACTCGCATCCCCAGGATCGTCGGACACATGTCGCGGGCATAACTTTCGGCAGTGTCCAGCGTCGATCTGAATAACTTCCCCGGATATCCCTAAACAAGATCGATCCATGTTAGGCACTTGATATTTCAATTAATTTTCGCCTCCTAGAAGTTTTGTTTGCGCTTCTGTTCCTCTTCCGTTACATTCGACTTACGCTCTGATTTTTATTTTCATCAGGGATGACATCGATTGGATATAACTTTCGGGAAAAATAGTGCGCAGATTTATTTAATCACGTTATTAAAAACCCTGGCAAAAATAAAAATCGGAGCGTAAGAGTAACAGAAGCATTAACAAAGTTTTTAGAAGGGGAAAATTGAGACAAACGAAATATAAAAGATGTGTTTAAGCTGTCCTTATGTTTCGTTGTCTCGATTCGACTTACATTCTAATTTTTATTTTCGTCGGAATAATTAAAAAAAAAGAAAGAGGTGGCGCCTAGGGCGATCGAATCGCAATGTGTGTACAACTCTGTTATTTTTGCATGTGAACGCGTGGGACTCGGAATGCGGGAGTATTTGTCATTGACGTCGTGAGAGGAAAGGTTTCTGCGCGATTTATCGCGTTATGTTACATACGAATAAAAATATGACTCGAGAGAAATGCATCGGTTGTCGTCCAAAGTAAGCGAATTGGGGGAAGGATACGGTGTTCTAATTGAAATATTAATTTCGATTAAAATGTCGGCGGGCCATCTCCTTCTTTATAAGCGGTCAAACGTCACCGCTGTTCAATTGAAGCTAATCGATTGACGAGAGAATCCGACGCAGTCGACGCGTGATGCGAAATTTCGATTCCAGACCAGAAGGATCAAAATATTTTATCCAGTTGCGCGCGAATGTTTAATCGTGTTACTTATTGTTTTGCCCCCAAATGCACTGTTAAATTCATAATGCCAAATCATACCAATTTAAGTTATTTTTAATCATTTCTATAAGTCGCCACAGTTCCTACTGAATAATATATGTCTTTGATTTAAATAAAACGATGAAGTTAACTCAAGAAAATATATTGAATTTGACTCAAATTTAGTTTCTTATTTACTAAGTATGTATTACGTTAATATGAATGTTGTTTACTTTGAAACTAATCACAAAATAGATTAATTTATACACAGTGACCGGATGTTCCGTTCTTTTTCCCCTTAAAGCACAGAGGTGGGGTACCAATTCATTGTGATGATACACGAATGAGATCATACCTAAGTTCTAACTAAGTACCGGTCAAAATTATATCACCTTTTGATTTTTTGAGCATAACTTTTGTCAAAGTGAATCGAATGCGCTCAAATTTATACAGACACTTGATGGCAGGTGCACCTTGTACGTAAAGTATAATGAGATTTAATAATGTACACCATGATTTTTTAATTTTTCACTAATTTTTCACTTTGACAAAAGTTATGCTCAAAATATCGAAAGGTGATATAATTTTGATCGGTACTGTATGAATCATTCATTCGTTAAATATGTTATTTTGCTCAAGTTTCCTCCTTGAAAATTGCGTTTTTTTTTTTTATAATAAATTGACATCTAGAGTTAAAAGCAGAAACGATTAAGAAATATTTTAATTTAAACGCTCACCGTATCCAACTTCGATCATCTTCTCATGTCGGGCGCAACACGTGTGCTGTCGCGGTTCTTCCGAATGCACTTTTCCCTCGTTTCCCGATTCCTTCTCGCAAAAAGCTAAGCAACAAAAATCGCAAGGTGATCATGAGTGGAACTCAATCGATGAATTTAAAATTGATGATCGGAACTAGACGGGAGTCTTATAGACGCTCTTTAAACGATGTGACATTAATGATATAAAGTATGTAGATATATATCTGATCGATTTAAACAAAATTAAAAACTAAAATTCTAGATTTTAATTTGGACTCAAAATTTAAATGCACAATTGAAATTAAATCGCGTCTTGCAGACGAATCTTTTTGAAGCAACAATGGAAATTGATTTAATTTTGATGAGTTTGATTTTTCATTATGGGGAGAAAGATGGAGCTTTTCTTTCGCCAAACGATTCTGTCATTGCGAAAGAAGCAAAGATTATTGCGCGTTGCATCAAGATTTTAACTCCTTAAAGTTCCATTGTTATAATATTAATATTCGGAATGTATTTGGCATAAAAAATGTTTATAAAAATTGTAATTATTATTATATGTGTAAGAAGAATTGTAAATTGAGAATTTCAATATTTGAGAATAAACCCAGATCTTTCGTCTCAAACGTCTTTTATTTGAAATCATTCGAAAAATTATTAAAAATTTTCTCCTTAAAAAGAGTGAGATTTCCTTCCAAAGAATTCAGAAAGTATATTCTATAATTCTGAACATGTGTAGAATCTTTGTATATGTATATGTATCGCTACGTGCGCTCTGACGGATGAGAGGAAAGCAGAACGGAGAAAAGGGGAGAGGCTAATCAGCGTTACCTAATCGCAAATTAGCCACGCAAACTATAACGAAACCGGCGAGAACGGTCCACCGTCCCCTCGCGCTTTGTACGCGCATATCGATACCGATTGTCGAGCGGATGACAAACGCGGGAACGTTCACCGACGAAAAGACGAGAGACCGATCACCTCGTGACCTCTCTCACGATCGTGTCGCGAATCTCCGGATCACCAGAGGATGATTTCGAAGCATCCGGGTGTGCGATACCGCTGCTTTTTTTTTCAGAGAACGCGACAGATACACGAAAGTAAGTTGGCGAAGACGATAGTCTGATCCCGATCGAAGGATCGGTATCGAAGCTTTTTATGAAGGATCGATCGCGTATCGAGCTCGTTACTGCCTACGCAGCTTGCAATCTGCGGGAAGACTGGCCGTCTGCCGTAGCCGGCTGGGAGACGTCCGGCTGACAGCGGCGGATCTCTATTAATCTCGTTTGGTGGACGGGATCCGCCTCGTGACGGACCGTCCATCACGGTCTCTTGCCGACCCGATCACCGTCGACGACCGCTCGATTTTATGCTCGCGAATGTACGTCCCGATTGGCCATCCCGGATATTTTTTTCCTTTCTATCTCTACAGATGAACGTAAGATGGAACGAAGGAGTCCGCGATAAATCTCGTGGAGGATTAACTCTAATAGTTAACAATTTTCGGGATCTTTCGGTTTTTTCTTTATCGCTCTATATATTTAGCAGCCATGTTTTACCGGTTCAGTAGGACGTATACACATATAATTTGCTTTCTACAATAATAGGCCGTTATCTAAGTTTAAGTGTTAAGCCGTAAGAAATTGACCAATCATAATCGATTATTCTTCTCAGATTCGGTTATCATTTTTCTTATTGAGTAAATATTATACAATAGGGTGTTTCCAAATTAAATCGCAAAACTTCGGGAGCGTGTAGAGGAGTAAAAAACTAAGAAAAAAAGTCCTATAGACATATGCTCGTTTTTGCTCCGTTTCAGAGAAATCGAAAAAAAATGTTTACATTTCTTGCCATATCTAGCACCGACATATTTGATTACATTTTCCACTTTCTGTTATGAATTTGTCAGTCGCTCTTTGAAAGCCTTTAACAGTAGATGAATTTTGTCTTTTGCAATATGCCGCGTACGTATTCTAATAGTGAATATGCTGATATGGTTTTTGTATACGGTTTCTGCAACGGTAATGCTTTAAAGGCGGTGCGAGAATATGCACGACGATTTCCAAACAGAAGAGTGCCAAACCGAAGAGTGTTTATGTTGACATTTAATAGATTGCGAGAGACTGGATCATTTTCAATTCGACAAGAAAACAACCGATTTCAAGCAGCGTTACGAAGAGATTTGCAGGCAGGGAA